AGAAATATATTTTACTTAGATCTCTGTTGCTTTGCCTACAGTTTTATACAGACAATGACATCGTGAAACGAGAGAGCTCAATAAGGATTTGTAAACAACAGCTCATTCAGGGCGGCAATTACGGCTTTAAAAACTAAATGATATATAGCGGCACTTGCAGAACGCAAATCTTAGCCATGTTCATATGGAGACAAGCTACCTTTCTAAGATATATCTCTTCTCCGAAGTAGGGGACATGAATACTAGAGCGTGACATCATACTGAATTGTTTTGTTAGAAAATGGTTTTACTAGCTAGAACTTCATTCTAGTCCTAGATCTTGTCGTTGCCGAGTACATCGGTTAGAAAGGTAGCTTGTCTCCATATGAACATGCCTAAGATTTGCGTTCTGCAAGTGCCGCTATATAGTATTTAGTTTTTAAAGCCGTAGTTGCCGCCCTGAATGAGCTGTTGTTTACAAATCCTTATTGAGCTCTCTCGTTTCACGATGTCATTGTCTGTATAAAACTGTAGGCAAAGCATCAGAGATCTAAGTAAAATATATTTCTTAAAATTGCTGAAATTTTACATTCTCCCTCCTTACATATATTTGCCAATATTTTTGCGAGTATACCTGTACATGCGTCACTTGTTTACATCCATCAAATGTCGGGGCTTAACTCGAATGCTTAAATCGTTAATTGACTTCGAGTTAAGCCCCCGGCGAAAAAGGGCGTGGCAGGGGCTTAACTCGAAAAGGGCTTAACTTGGAGGGCTTAACTCGAAGGGCTTAACTAGAAAAATACCTACCCCTAAGTAAGATAGAAATATAAGTTCAAATATTAAAATTAACATGTTTCTATATACGCTTTTTTGCACGCGTTCGCACATTCACATCAGGGGCAGATTCAGGCAGGTTTGACAGGTTTACATAAACCTGTCAGATTTTCCAAAGAACGAAAATCTATAACCTCCATGTATATAACTAATTTAAAGAATATTCTGTTTCATAAAATTGATGTTGTCTAATCTATTATTGAAATTCGATTATGGACTACCAAGCGTATTTAGAGCCACTGATCATTGCTTTGGCGATTGAGAATCAGGAAATGATTGCGAAGTTTTCACGCTCTTGCAGTTTGGCAGTTCGTTGTTAGAGTTGGATTGAAAGCGTGTAGATCTAAATCGATATGTCAGCAATTAGCGGATCCTATATTTTTAACACTAGGCACTAGCTAATACGCTTCGGAAAAGGTTCAATTCATTGTTTGAGCTGCGTATTAGTAAAAATTTCACTTAAAAACATGCATTTTCTAATCATTAAATTAATTTTAAAAGCCTATTAGTTGGGTGAACCTAGTAAACCGGTCAACCCCCCTCCCCGAATTTTTTGCACCCTCCCCCCCGAGAAAAAGATGAAAATCCGCTCTTGGTTTCATTGAAGTGAATTTTATCTCACATTTCGCCGTTACACCGTCCGTTTATACCTACAATTATATTATAGCATTTGTAAATTCTGAACGCTGATTGGCTAAGAGCTGCCAGTATAACTCAATGTCGACACGAAAAATTTCTTTCTTTATATTTCTTTGTGCTATATTATAAAACAAATATAAAACTTTCTTTCCGTATTGATATAGAGTTATAAAACTCGAAATTGTGTGGAAACACGACGCCCGGATATAACTGTATATCAGCACGGAAAATGTTTTTGGGACGAAAATAGAACGCGAACGCTTTCACCAAAGGCCGTTTTCAGGAAGTTAATTTAGTAGAGAAATGCTCTTGAGGACGAAATTTAATAACCCTTAGAAGTGCTTATACGTCACGCAATTTTCAATCCATCAAAACATTAGGTATACGCAATGCAATGTGGGATACATGTGGGTCAAATATTCATTAGTGAGCTTAAGCAAGTGACGTTTTTGACAACACGAACGGCATGAGTAACGTCAGAAGACTGGGTCAAGGGCTGTGATTGGTGAAAAACGTCGACTTTACTTCCGGTCGACGTCCGTGTTGTCAAAAACGTCACTTGCTTAAGCTCGCTATTGTCTGACAGTGACGTGACGTAAGGACTTCTAAGGTCAATTAATATCATGCCAGTTATCACTCTTTTGGCTGTATTTGGGGCCATGCCAGGTCTCGGCAAACGGTCCTGTGTTAAAGGTCTACTGACAAGACCTGTGTTATTTTGAGAAGTAGTCCTAAGGAGAGGTTCAACTGTTCATTAAAGTGCATGTACTCGCACTATTTGGTTTTAACAAAATTTAATTAACATTTCTAGACTGGCAAAATGACTGTCTAAATTTACCTGATGTGAAAAAGCGCCAAAATCTGATTTATTCATTGCCAACAAGTGGTGGTAAAACTTTGGTTGCGGAAATACTGATCATGAAAGAATTGTTATGTCATGAAAAAGATGCACTACTGATTCTTCCTTTTGTCTCCATTGTGCAAGAAAAGGTTAGTATTATGTAATGTCACAAACGGTTATTATTATTTTTTATTATTTTGTTGTACACTTCCTTTTGTCCCCCTCCATCTCGTTGTATGCAAACAACAATAGAAGTGACCTCAACACAATATTAGGCACACCCAAAATGTGCGTAAACTATACATATACCAAATGGATGGCCCCAATGGCAATATATATGTAATCTAATTTAGACATTGCATGGTTGAAACTATCACCAATATCAGTTGAACACATTAATATTGAAACATTTAGAGTCGTCATGTACATTTTAAGAATCCATCGCAGCCATGGTATTAAACAGCCATTCTTATATTCCAATATAGGTCCGAGATATGTCACTTTTTGCAGTTGATCTGGAATTTCTTGTTGAGGAATACGCAGCAAGCAAAGGAAAGTTCCCACCAAGAAACCGAAGGAAGAAGAAATCACTTTATATTGCCACCATTGAAAAGGTGTTTGTATATTAATACGGAGGTTCTCGTATATTATTGCATGTGCACAGAGATTTCCCTTTTCAAAAATTTTGTTATTCACATGCACGAAATTCTTATTTACATGCATACTGTATTTGTTTTATTATTACAAGTGAGGATGTTACCCATCTCATTTTCTATTTTATCTTTTAAAATATTCCTTGAGAGCATGCCGGCCATTTAAGCATTATCTGTCAGGCAAATTTTATCCGAATCAGAAGGACCAAGAACTTTTTGACAGCGTATTTTATTGCCAACCAATCACATGGCATTTCGATTTGCACGAAAAGTTGGCTTATGCATTTAGTCAGGGTGCGATAATTCGCGTACTTTCGTACTTTTTTATTTTCAGCCATGTACCACGTAGGTACGCGGTACTCTTGCTATCTGCGTACTTTTTGAAACCATCTGACCTTTCCAAGCCCAAGGTTTCAATACCGTAATTGGTATATGTTTGATGTCTGACATGTCTTGGCATGAAACATGATTGGACTGATGGCACTAAGGCATGTTGAGGTCGATTGTATAGTAGTTTAAATATACTTTTCAGAAATTTGTTCTTTATGTACTTTTTGTATAAAGACTAAGTACACATTGAGTATTGAGTTTGCACTAGCGCAAGTACGCGGCAACAATCATTGGCGTACCAGTCAGGTACGACTAAAAATCTTGGATTATCGCACCCTGATTTAATAGAAGAAGCAGATGCATTTTGGCATAAACAGTATACAGTATTATATTAAGTTTTACCTGTATGATTAGAGTTGCAGTATATGTGCTGGCCATAATTAACTTGGTCCCAGGTATGTGATGGACAAATACTGTTGTTAAAACATACATGTATGAGTAAAATCATGATCTTTTTGAAGGCCAATGGATTGGTGAACAGTTTAATTGAAGAAAACCGGATGTCTGAAATTGGATTAGTGGTTGTGGACGAGGTAAACATGTGGTCTTCGATTTGATTAGGGTACAGTACTACAAAGTCATGTCAATTCATATTCATGCATAAGGTGTAATTATAAGATAATATAGCAGATATTGTACCACGATATCATGCATTCATTAGGATTATACTAGAAGATGCAGTTAAATTGGAAACTTTCTTCTGACTATTTAAATAAATCCCATCAATTGTATTAATGCAGACTATTCAAATAATCCTCATTACCATGTTACAGTATATGATCGTCTTGAGATTTTCAGCAACTCGTTTTGATATACAGTATACAGGGTGTATAAAGAGGTATATGATCCAAATTTGGCATGTTGTCGTGCATTTACTATTTAGTTTATATATTTATTATTTACTTTTTATGCCTATAAAGGTCTTAGCTGTCAAGTGATTTTTTTGTGACAAGATGATGAAAAATGGCCAAATATGATCTGATTTAATATGTTTGGTCGAAATCGCATTTTTCTTGATGTTGTCTTCATACTGAATTTTGGATTTATAAAATATGACATAATGTATTTGCAGACTGGCCTGGCAATGCCAAACACTTCACAAATATAAGCAACCATCATTTTGGCCAAAAATTTGAAGCAAGTTTAATCCCCAAAGGTGGGAAAAGGCAATTTCAACCACCTTTTTTCATCGGATATAGCCTCCTCCGCAGGCTTCTCGTGGTTCACGTACTTTACAATTGTTTTTGCCCGCAAGCAAATTTTGCCCGCTAATCTAAAGGCGATGCCTGCGGAAGAGGCTACATCGGATCATGTTTAGCCATTTTTGATCCCAGTGATATAAAAAAATTGTTGTCAATTGGGCAGCTTCAGTAAAATCCTGCATGATCTATATTTAAAGTATACAATTTATAAACTAATATGCGATAACATGCTTTATTTTATCTTTTTTTATACACCCTATACATATATGTGAGCCATATCTTATCTTCTGTAGATGCATATGCTTGGAGAAGGTGGTCACAGAGGAGCAACTTTAGAAATGTGTCTTGCTAAAATCTTATTCTGTTCCAGTAAGTCAGGGTGTTAGCCAGAAAAAAAGTTTTGTCCGTTAAACATAAATTGGGAAAGTTTTTTTGACCGATCAAAGTCCTTGTGTTGGAATAAATAGTGTTTTTTTCCAACGTGTTTCTCCTTAGATGCAAACAACGATAGCTTCAGTTGGTTTTGTACATTCCATTTCCAGTGAATGAACACTGAAAAATGCACCCGATGGCACTTCGTTTTGTATGTTTCATTTCCGGTGAATGAACACGGATGCACACCGATTACACACCCAATATGAATGAAACGCGATACATTTTGAGAAAATAGTTAATGGGAAAAAGTAAATAAAACGTTCTTTGATATAACAATATAAAATCAAACGCAATGCACTTTCTCATCAGAAAAAATGAAATATTCCAGTAGACCCAGTTGGGAAAGCCCCTTAGCTACTTCAATTGGGAAGAGTCCGTCAAACGGACAGTATATGGGCTAGCTAACACCCTGTAAGTATAAATTATTTTCCTGATTTAAAGATAAAAACCCTAACCTATGCGTTATATTGGCAGAATTCCCATCAACAAAACCCTTCAACATATCACATGCCTTCTATATCTGAATTAAGTTTCTTATACTGTACAGTACATGTATATTTTTTCACTTTTCCAAGTATAGGTAGCACACAGGTAATTGGTATGAGTGCAACCCTGAGCAATATAGCAGATTTACAACGATTTCTGAATGCTGAAATATACATCAATGAGTTTAGACCTGTGAGTTATTTTTTGTTTTCGATTTTGCGAGTTTTTCCTGTTATAGGCCTACAGTATATTTATTCCCCACGGCCACGCAGTGTGCCAAAACCCAACGAGGCAAAAATAGCTGTCAGGCAAAAACGGTTTAAACCAACGAGTGTAACGTTAAAATTCCAGGTGGAACTGAAGGAATATATTAAAGTCGAAAGTGAAATATATGAAGTAAAAAACGACAAAGTTGGTCGTAATGAAGAAATTCCATTGAAACGTTCGCGAAAGATTAAACATGAGGTAGTTAGATAATCATATACCTATATATTTGTTTAATAAAAATGAGTAAATTCTTTGCAAATACAGTGAAACCTCTACTAACGGACACCTCCATACCACGGACAGTACAGTAAATTCAGGGGTCGGTTTGTTTAGATTTAAAATCCTGAAACCTCCAAACAACAGACACCATCGTGATTGTAAATTGACTATATGCAAGTGAAAATAAGCTTTATGCTTCATGACGGGCAGTTTATATAAAAATTCGCTTGCAACAAACAAACTACAACACATGAACATTAAAATTTATCCCAGTGCATTTTTAGACAAATTGAAAACGTATACACTCGGAAAGCTAGCAAAATACATGGCCATATCTTGCTTGTTTCTTTCGTCCTTCATTAAACCTCTCGCGCGTCTAAACAACGGACAGCAAGTTTCGGTCCCAAGGTTTTCCGTTACATGGAGGTTCCATGTACAAAATGTGAAATAATACAGTACATCGAAGTAATTTTAGCTGTAATATGTATAGTAAGTTACCTGAAACAAATACACGCGGCCCACTGCATCTTCGTTCATGTTTGGAAGACAGTTGATAGTTACGGCTTGTGGGACGTAGTGACCTCGACTGGGCAGGGTTCAAACTACCAATTACTGTACAATCAATCAATCAATTTATTTTGCACAAAGATTTACAATTACCTACTGTATTTAGTATTTACATTAAACTTTGATACAGACTTAAGTGCAAGCTATTGCTGCAATAACCATATATGGTTAGACGAGGTAGCTAGCTTAATAATATATTTCCGCAACTATTGAGGAAAGTAACTGAAAAAGTAAACAAAAGCGCGCATTCATTGTGGTTGATCATGCCCCTTTAAGGTACATCAGACCAGTAAGATTTCCCCACCAACACGGTGTTTTTACCACTATAGGTTTTTATGACCAGTAATATATTACTTTTACAACTCTCTGTTTTTTTGTTCAGTCGTCCGACCCAACGCTATCCATAAATGATCCTGATCATCTCAGCGTTCTGGTTCAAGAGGTCATTCCAAAATATTCATGCTTGCTGTTTTGTCCTACGAAGCAGAACTGCCAAAATGTTGCTAAATTGTTAGCAAAAACTTTGTCGGGGTATAGTATGCATTCTGAATTGAAGTATAATTTTGTACGACGGCACAATAACTCATTCTTAAGTCTGGGCGGTTTTGACCAAATGGAAACCGGTTTCCCCTCTGATTTCAAAATTCAAACCGGTTGGACCATCAATCAAGTAACAACATAAGCCTGCCATAAATTGTCCATTGTGTAACTAGCCTGAGAAACAAACGTTCTTTTTTCCGATCAAAAAACAATTAAGTCAAACTACATGGCATGGCGAACCATGAGATTCGCTTATCCCTAAATACGTTGAATGTGTAATTTTGTCAGGCTTTGTTCAAACTGGACTACGTGATGTTTGAAGTGTACTCGAATTTGCACGATTTCTCCATCAGTCCATCGTAGGACGCTTGAAACCGGATGAATTCGAGAACAGTTGTCCGCACGAATTCCCGTTTGAATAAATGGGACCGGACGAATTTATCCAGTTTCGTGCGAACAATGTTCTCCTATTTTGCACTACTCTAGCAATCTGACTGTTTATAAGCAGTCATCGCGTTTTTTAGAGAATTCAAGAAAGTGAAGGTGAAGGAAAAACGTGACTTGTTACGTTCACTAAAGGTCAATGCAGACGGAATATGTCCTGTTTTACGTCAAGTCATACCGTACGGTATAGCATATCATCACGGTGGACTTACAATGGATGAACGAAAGTTAATTGAAGAAGCATACAGTCAGGGAACTCTGTGTCTTCTCACGTGTACTTCCACATTAGCTGCTGGAGTAAACTTGCCGGCTAAAAGGTAGGTCAACCAGAAATGAGGAAATGTGAGTGAATCAGGGTTCGTGCTGGTCTTGAAAAGTTAAATTCAAGGAGTAATTAAGGGGTTTTTAAGTAGTAAAATAGTTCTTTTCAAGTAGTGTTTGAAAAAATTGTTGAAAACATAGAAAATGGCGGGAAAATCGAACCCAGATCGAGCCCACGGTTTATTGACCAGTGTAGCTTCCAAATGAAATACTTGGTGTAATATTGACGAATTTGTGTCAACGATTTGATTTTTTTGCACCATGGAATACCTATGGCAACTAACAAAAATTAATACTATGGTTTCACTTACTATTTAGCAAAACATTTTAAGAATTCAAGGAGTTTTTTAAAACTGTAAATTTCAAGAGCTTTTCAAGCGCCCTTGAAAAGTCCAAACTTATTCAAGTAGTATTTAAGGAGTAGCACGGACCCTGTGAATATATGGCAATACAATGGACGTTGGAAGTGCTTACGTCGCGCAATTTTCAAACAATGAATTATTGACCCAAAAGTATCCCACAATGCACTGCGCATTCCAGATGTCCTCTGTAGTAAACAGTTTTATTAACATGCAATGACAATAAGAGAGATACAACTACCCGAATAATATAACAAGCAGAACTTCGACGTTTCGAGCGAAGGCCCTCGAACTAGAGAAGAGAACCAGCCAAACGCTCCTTACATTTCAAGCACAACGAAGTTACCCAACCTAAGCAAATCGCGGCCCTGTCCTGAACATATAGTAGCAGACTTACCTCAGCCTTTAGGGGCAGCGCGTTAACCAGAATTGGTTGCCAAAATATTGTTATTATTTTGTTATTGCAAATCCCAGATGTTTTGGCTGCAAAACTGTAGCCTATAATCTGAAGGCTGGTAAAACAACACGGCTACACCTGTAGGTAGTCAAAATGGTCATACTATGGAGAGAATACATCCTTAAGATACCCGAGGATGATTCTGAAATTGATATGTCACTTGTGTCGTATGGATATGTAAATACACCTGTACTGGCTCCGAGGTACTGGCTGTAGCAATATGCATGGTAGCGAAGTTGTTACAATAAGTGCGTGTTTCTTATTTATAATAATAATAATAATAATACTGGGTTTTAATAGGATAACTTAATTGTTATGTATTTACATATAGGTATACTACTACTAATCTATTAAAATGTTATTAAAACTATATCTATTTACATCTAGTAAGAACATTACATATTATTATTGTATTTATCAATAGCATAGACTAGTGGACTGTTCTTAAAACGATCAGTTTTACTTTTAAAGTTACAAAATTTGTTTCTATTGGATTTATAGAGTTATCTTACGAAATCCTTACATAGGAAAAAATGTGATTACTAGAAGTCAGTACAAGCAGATGATCGGTCGAGCTGGTCGAGCTGGTATTGATACTTCAGGAGAGAGCATCCTGCTTATGGATAAAAGAGATAAAGATAAGGTAATATCGTCCTGGTGGGCCCATCAATACTGTTAAATGTTGTTAACAGCATTGTCCAAGGGGTGCAGCACAACATTGTAAATGGCTGTCGACATCAACCCCGAACAGGTTGTGCGTTTTTGCATATGTAGAAGACACCATGGAACAAGCCGCTATAATTGAGGATAATGGGAATAATCAACTCCTGTCCGTTCTCTTTCATCATTGGCCATGTTACGGATCAATAAGTGCAAGAAGTCTATTAGCACCTTAATTGTAGAAGTTGAACAATCGTTACAAAGGTCGAAGCTTGTTGGAATATGCAGTTTCCAAACGCGCCATTCCTATCAGAGGGGCAACGCTCAGTTTTGCGTTGTTCTTTACAGGAAATGGTAGATTAACAATGTCCTTGTTTCCTGTCTTGGTTGATTTGAGAAAAAAAAACATACAAGACCTCATCTTGGACAGACAAAATCAATGTACTATTGTACTAGCAGCTAGGCTATGCATAAAGTACATGCAGTATACATGATTGTTAACAGAAAGTATTAAAAAGACAAATTAAACCATTGTTTGGCATGAATATTTTGTAGATCATTCTCTAAATTACAAAAATTTGTTTCTGAAATATATGTTATTTTCCAGGTTTTAAAATTGATCAACGCGCCCTTGGAATCTTGTCATAGCAGTTTGTTGCATGGCAATGGTCAAGGTCTGAGATCTCTGGTGTTGTCTCTAATTGGACTAAAGGTAACTAATCGAATTGCAGGAAATTCCTGCACAATTACCGACCTTGCGAGTTCATAATTTGAAAAGAATCTAAATCTGCAAAGAAAAAATGTTTACTGCTCTCGGAGTGACAGTACTATCGCTTTGTATTGTTGCATGCTTACTCTATGCGACTTGTATGTTTGTATATTGTTTCTTTTCCTTTGTGTGGTTTTCTGTACAAAATAAGACAAGTTCCAAAATTATGACAAAAAACATCTTGCTAAATCCAAATCAAGGTTTCTCTTGATGTGGGGGGGGGGGGACAAAATTTGTGCCAATATCCGACTCGAGAGGTACATGTGAGAACCAGCCGAACGAATTTTGAAGTGCAGAGAAGTTACCCAATCTGAGTGAATATAATTACTAGCAGACTTAACCGAAGCAGTAAGGATGAGCACTGTGTCTGCGCTTCCTATTTTATGCATTGAATACACTATCGCATTCTGTAGGTATGTAACTCCGTGGAGGATATAAATCGCTTCACTTCTAAAACATTGCTTGCTGTCCAGAATGACTCCAAGGGAAACAGTACTTTGTTTGAGAAAGTTCACGAAAACGTTGATGCTCTGGTAAAGTTAAAGCTTGTGGAGAAGTGGGATTCGACTACTGCTGACAGGCCAACAACACGAGTTGAAGCTACACCTTTAGGAAGAGCAACATTTAAAGGTACTGTTAGTAGTAATACATTGAAATTTTGTGTATGGTAAACCATAAATGGTTTATCTCAGTCGAGACTTGGTGAAGGTATGGAGTGTTCCAATGCCACAGTACATAAAGAAATATATTTTCCTTATTAATTTGGAAATTATTGGGGGCTGGTACTTTTGAGGGGGGTGGGCTATTTTCGGGGCGGTAATATGAAAATAGCGAGAAACCGCGATACATACCAGGTGATCTCGTGTTCGTATTTTAGCTAATCAGCGCTCAGAAAGGGTTGTCCGAATAGAAATCCATTTTGATGTATTCAGTCAATTATATCTTTCGTTATTCTTTATGAAACTAGTTGAAATTTTGTAATTTTATCGGATGTATCCTTCATGATGGGTTATGATAATAAACATTTCATACAAAACAAACGGTATAAACTCCGAAAATGAACACATTTATATACTGTATCGACTGAGTAACCTGGCATTCCTGACGATCACTAAACCTTAGTCGAATGCTGTACAATACATAAATATATTCATTTTCAGAGTTACCGTTGTTTTGTATCCATTAAAGTACTCGTGGTTCCCGTAATAAACATGTCATGTCTGGTGTTTGTATTGTACAGGATGCGTTGATGTAGATCGCAGTCCGTTTATATACGACGAAGTTAAGCGTGCTCAAGAAAATCTGGTATTAGCCAATGATCTTCATTTACTGTATCTCGTCACTACACCAGATATGATAGCAGATATTAAACCTAATTGGATGACTTATCTCACACAGGTCAGCTGATGACAGATGATTATAATGTTATTATCAATAAATACACAATTGCATGTTTCATTTCACATTTTTTTTCCTTTTTCCAAAATAATGGCACCATTTATCATACACTGCTAAAATTAGATCGATACTTAATTTCATTGTGATGCACTACGTTCTTTTTCCCAACTTGCTAGCGAAATAACATTGACCCTGATACAAGTTATTATAGAACGATGGCAGAGGTGTGTATAGCCCAATTCACTCGAGCCTGAGGCTCATGATATACAAGTGCTCGTCATGTAAATCCTAAGGGTTAGTTTCTGGGGAGGAAGGAAAACCAGAGTGCCGGGGAAAACCCAACCCCGTTCCCAGGGTAGAGCCTGGGAACGAGGTTGGGGAAAACCCTCAAAGCAATCGAGAAAACCAACCAAACTCAACGTACCCGAGTTTCAATGCACAGGGAAGTTACCTTACCCCCACAAGTAACTGAGTCTTGACTCAACGGTAAGAGGCAGTTCGCCAACCGCATCGCCCACCTGTGCTCTCCAACACCCTGTGCTCTCCAACAAAATACTTTTAGTATTTTCACTAACTTCCCAGAAAGATTTGCAATATTTTGATCTTTGCTTCAAGGTTTCAAGTCTTAATTCTGCTGAACAAAAAGCATGTGAATTTATTGGAGTATCAGAGGGATATCTAACTAGACAAGTATCGAGTAATGGATCGAAGAAGGTAATGGATTTCATGATATAGCACATTTGTAGGCCTGGTAATTTTTAATAAATGTAATTTATTTTTCTAGAATGAACAAGAAACGTCGGTAGTGAAACGATTTTACTTGACGTTGATGCTGTACAAGATTATCAGTGAACACAGTATCTGGGATGTCGCGAACACATTTGACCAACCACGTGGCTTTATTCAGAGTTTATTTACGTCATCCACATCGTTTGCATCCTGTCTGGTCCATTTCACCAACGTATGTTTGTTATTTCGTTTCTCACTCAATGTTGTACACGTAGTTTCAGTTTTGTATGCCTATTTCAGATCATGTGATATCTACATCTTTAAACACTCTTAGTTTTCTTGCATTTTATATTTAAATAGGAATGGAGAAATGGAAAAAAATATATACATAGTAGGTTCTCCTACTGAAACGCTCCGTATTTCACGACTTTAGAGATAGGCCCACACTTAATTTTGCAAACACGTAGCCTTTTCCCGCGTAATTCCCGATTGGTGAACAATCATGATGAGAATTTGCATTTGTTTCATGTCTAACAAGGCCGGACTTTGGTGGAAATAGTGGGAAAGGTGGAAAAAATTTAGGGGAGGTGCAGCGGTCTAGCTCACGACCCCCATGGAAAGTTAGGGCTTACTGTCATGGAAGGGGCTAAAGTCAACGACGGGACGTATGCATGTAGTGCACATGTATGTATCAGTGTATTAATGAATTATGACTGTACAACTCATCAAATTTTGCCCTTCATTACAATTAATACAAAGTTTCTTTCAAAACATTGCATTAAAAGGTTACTTGACACAGAGATGAATGGCTATTACTGTTTCAAGCTTACAAAAAAACCTTCTTACGAAGTATAGACCCTAAGCAACCAAAAACTGTCAAATTTTCACTTTGATCCATCATTGAAACTTTCCCAAGGGGAGGTGCATGACTTTTCAGGGGAGGTGCAAAAATTGTCAGGGGAGGCGCAAAACTATCTCTGGGGAGGTGCGCACCTCCCCTCAAAATCTGGCCATGATGTCTAGCACACGAGTTGCTTTCTGTGGTTACTTGTGAATGCAAGGATTCCTTAGCTAGCCCAGGCCTCCCACTTGACTGGATCGGTTTTGAACCGTGGGAGATTCGTCAACTTGGTCTTAGTCCTAAATTCGTAAAGTAACCTTACCCGAACTGCCAGTATACATGTATTTCGTTCCATATAGAAATTTCATCATTGTTCCCAAAAGCATAAATTTATACAAAAACATCGATGGAAATATGTAGAACCTAGGGCCGCTCGGAGGGCAAAAATGGTTCCAAGAAGAGCAGATTTGCGAATGTGCTAGGCCTTCTCGCTCCCCGTCTCTCCCCAGCGCGCGTAGCATCGCGGAAGCGAAAGGCAGGAACTAAGCTGAGGATTCTTCACATGCACGTTTGGATGGCTTTACTAGTGAACGGTATCGTATTTTTTTAATTTAAACATTGAACTGTCAAATTTTAGGAGCTACCCGAGTTTCAGAATATCAAACTTCTGTTGGAAACAATTATGGACAAACTGTCGTACACTGCAGTTTTGGAACTTGTACCACTGATGCAAATACCTGGAGTAAAAAAGGTTTGTTTTTCCAGGGGGTTTTTCATCTTTACGTGGATGTAAAATAAGATTGTTAAACAACTGGCAGCGCGTTCGTACAAAACTTGAAAGTCCTTGAATGTCCTTGAATTTGAAAACAAAAATTCAAGGCCTTGAAATATCCTTGAGTTCGCAAAGAAGTACTTGAAGGTCCTTAAATTCTTTTTGCTTTAGTTTATGCATGGATATTTTTAGAAATTGTTTGACATTCGAAACTGATTTCTGACCGCAAACCATGACCAAGGCTCGATGAGCACCCCACCTACCAGATATGACTCGATCCTCTAGATACAAGGTAAAAACCTGTTACGTTCTGTTACGTTGTGGGTCAGAGGCAACCATTTTCGTGGCCTCGAAAATGGCGGCAACTATTGAGGAAAGTAACTGAAAACGTAAGCAAAAGCGCGCATCGCATTGTGGTTGATCATGCCCCGCACATGTTCGGCGTTTAGAGATTCAATTTGAAGCAAAACCTCTCATCCTATATAGAACCGTGCTAAGCAGTTGTATGTCGCTGGATACCGCAATTTACAGGCAGTGGCAAAAGCTGATCCAGAAACTTTAATTAAAGAAATGGAACACTTACCAAGAACGCAAGCCAAACTCCTTGTATCAGCTGCAAAGGTAATTCACAGTGCTCATGTTATACTGAAGGAAGATGTTAGACTGTACTGTATATATGAGACTCTGATGTATTAAGGCTGCTCTCCAGCTAAGCGAGATTTTTGGGAAAATATCTCCAACTTTATATACTACTTGTCCGAAAGTTTGCTTTGAAGTTTCGTGTTAATCTTGGATTAAAGTATATATTACGTTTTCTTCACCTTGCTTAGACAAGCACTGTATACAGTATAGATTCCTATTTAAGAATCAACACCCAAAGCAAAGTGCAACATGTACTGTTTATATCCAAAATATATTTTATCTAAAGTATATTAAATTTATTGGCACTTTTTTGTAATGCAACTGTGATTTTCTATACCTTCAAAGGTAATGTTTGCAAGCTGCGATTGTCGTGTACGATTCGTATTCTGGCGTATGAATACTGTTGACGCCACAATTCCTGTCGAGTTCGTTCATGGTGAAATCTGAATTCAACTACTTTACGCGCGCTTATTCTATTACACTCTCCAGAATACGAATCGTACATGACAAAACACAGCGTGTATTACTTCCACACCACAAATCCAATAATTCGACAATTGATAGAACAAAATTTTCCTTCGATAAAACCCTACCTGAATACCTGAAACTTCTTCATTCATTTAAAGATGTTATTGTTGGAGAAAGCAGAAGCTTTACAAGAAGAAGCAGAAGAATTGATTGGAATACAACCGACGAAAGGCAACGAACGATAGGATCGTAGGAAATATTACGAATAAAAAGGAAATCGTATTCAATTGGTTCAATAATTATGTCCGTGCACTCAAGAGGAGGTTTTCATTCCTGACGAGCGGTGAACAGTGCCGAAATGAAAGGGTCATTTAATGCTGTATCGGAACATTTCCATGGTGGGTGTTAAGGTGTAAATGTGTTTTGTTTTGAAGGGTATATAAGTTCTTTGCGTGGTGAAAATAAATATAATCGTTTTGTTTTGTGGAAAACACCACGTTTGGAAAGTCACATTTGCAAAAATACCGATCCGTAAACGCGGATCTTCTCCAGCGCAAATATTTGGATCGAAAGCCTTTGATCGAAAAATTAACGCGAGTTTTCCACAAACCCAAACAATTAAACAAGAACTGAATATTAACAAATGTTTATATTATATTGGAAAACATACCATTATAACATAGGTATATTATAAAAATTGAAATATTATAAACAGAATATATTTTTAATTTGATATTGTGACAATATATGTAGTTTTGTTTGGAAATGAGAAATAAATATACACTCTAAAACAGCCTGCATGGTTGTTGTAACTTAAACCAGAATATGGTTGTACTCGGTTGTACATACACCTAGCCACCACGAAGACACTGGGGAGTGGGGACGAGATTGCCACCTAGCATAGCTCTGGTACGAGGTTGGCATAGTTCACCGGTTTATATCGTTCAAGATAAATAAAAATAGCTCGGAAATCTTTCCAATTTAACTTCACCAAAATAATATAATTTTGTATAAACATTATAGTGAAATGGGGGTTCCGTGATTGTGGTTAGGACATTCCACACATGATAATGTGTGGTTGGTTAACTCATAGAGCCTAGTTTCCATATGTTCGTAACGGTTACGATCTTTCTCAACAGTTGAAATACCACATTTTAGAACTAAAAATAGGCAGAGTGATTGTAAATAGAGAACACTTATGATTTATATGTGGTTTACATATAAAATCTGTTATAATCTGGCCTTTGAGAAAGATCGTGACCCCATCTTTACGACCATGTGCAAACCGCCATTACGGGTTACCGTTACATCTTGGTGAGCAAGAGGCCTGGAGGAACAGGAGAAAACCTCTCAAAGCACAGGAAAGAATCAAACATAAGTATTAGAAATTACCCAACGTAATTAAATCCATGTCGACCTATAGTATAGCAGGCTTAACTCAGCGGTAAGAGGCAGCGTGCAACCACACTTGCCACCCACCATGTTGTGCATGACAAAGCCATGCATCAATGCATGCCCTGTCTCAATATTATAGTGAGGAAACATGGACCATGGTCCATATAAATGCACACGAATACAAAATTAAATAAAAATATTACAGAGAGTGCCTTACAATAATTACTCTACATCTTGTAGCGCTGGTTTCGTCATGTCCTGAAAAGGGGAAAATTAAACTAAACAAACTAAATGCAACAAAAGTTTTGTGCACATTGAAGGGAATGTACGTTGAAAGAGCCTATAATATCCAAACATATAACTTTCTTAATGTTTGATGATGACTCATCCATTCATCCGACATCTTGTTGTATATCCTTTGTATGGTCCTGTTTCGATTTTCATTGTTAAGGTGACCAATGTAATACTCATACAACGACACGTTTTCATATGGAAATTTTTGTTTGCTTGTCTGTATGGGCAACTTCGCCAATTTTCTCAAGCACGGTTGTCATAGAAAAAATTGGCAAAGTACAAATTGGGTCAAAAACGAAAATGCGGTTGGTCAGCGATCTATTTTGTAATAGCTATTATGAAACTTGTCACAGAAAATTTGCCCGTCTGTAATCCATAAAAACAAGATACTAGTAAACGCAGACTATTCCACATCTTCGAACATGACTTGGCCAAGAATGGCCAAAAGATTTGGCAGAGTATTGTATTAACAGCGTAACTTTATAAGGAAATGTATTGTTGCGCTTTTCAGGGACAAAAATAAGTGACGGTAAAAAGGGGATGGTATTAACGAGGTGGGGTTCCACTGACTGTAAAATGAAGGGGATAGCTGATATACAATATACAGATAACTTAAAAGTTAACTTTTAAGTTATCTGTACATTGTATATCAGGTTAGCAAGTTATCGAAGAGACTGTCGAAGCCATTCAGAGGCAAGCCAGTGGGCAAGGATCGCAAGCTATCGAAGTAGAAGAGCCTGTCGAAGCTATCCAGAGTCAAGCCAGTGGACAAGGTCAAACATCAACATCAACACAAGACGTCGATAAGTCGAGCGATAAACCGAAATCAGTTTTGATTATTGGAGACTCCATAATTAAGCACATAGACCCCCGAAAACTCTCCAAAAAGACAGTCTATAAGCGGTCGTTTCCAGGTAAAAGAGTCGAAGAAATACATGATGAAATAGACAATATACAAATGAACGATGAACTATCATATGTAATTATTCATGTAGGTACGAATAATCTATCATCCGAAAGCGTAGACTCATGTGTTCGAAAAATACAAAAGCTGGCTTTGAAGACTCGCAGAAAATTTCAAAATTCAAAGATTGGCATCTCCAGCATTATACATAGAGATGATATCAATGTGTCGGCAAAGTTATCTGCAGTCAATGGAAAGTTAAAGGAGATGGCTAACAATGATGACTTTGTTTTTATTGACAATTCGCGTATTGATGGAACATGCCTCAACGGCAGCAAACTACATTTGAACGCAAAGGGATCGGCTTATTTAGCCAATAATTTTATAAAATTTATTAGGCCATTGGGAAAACGAGCGAAGCTGCAAACGGGTTTTTTAAACCCAATACATCAGCTGGGACAACTACTAACCCAGCTAACAACCCAACCAACGACAATTCCACTATACAAGAAACCTCGCCGTTAGATGTTGGGAATGACAATTCAGGTAAAGCATGCCGTGGTCCAACAATGGGTGAGTTTGATTCTGCATTGCATTGCGTCGCTGGATTAAAAGGCCTAAAAATTGCTAGTATAAATGTCAATAGCTTATTGAAACACATTGAGGAAATTAGGCATCTGTTATTTAAATTTCCCTTCGATATTTTTGCTATTAATGAATCCAAAATAGATGATTCTGTAATGGATGGGGAAATAAGTATCCCTGGTTTTAACTTGATAAGAAAGGACCGTAATAGGGCAGGAGGCGGTGTGGTGTTGTATATCAGAGACAACCTATCCTATTTGGATAGGAATGACTTGGTGCCCGATCGTCTTGAGATGCTGTGTGCTGAAATTACTCGCCCCTTTAGCAAGTCGCTTTTTGTCTGCACATGGTATAGGCCTCCGAAGTCAAACTTGAGCTTATTTAATGATTGTGATGTATTTTTTCAAAAATGCGAGTCTGAAAATAAGGAATTGATTATAATTGGTGATATTAACTGCGATGTTATGAAAACCTCACCAGATGCCCATACACGACAATTAAACTTTTTGTGTTCTCTTTATCAACTTGACCAATTAATTAATAAACCTACAAGAGAGACCAACACCTCGGCGACCTTGATTGATTTGGTCTTAACTAATGCTAAAGAAAACATTTCGACGTCTGGTGTACTAGATCTGGGGATGTCTGACCATAGTTTGATTTATGTGGTCAGGAAGTTCACCCTTCCAAAACTTAAACCTAATGTGAAAGAAGTTAGGGATTATAAACATTTTAATGCTGAATATTTTATTGGGGATTTAGCCAGAATGCCTTGGCAGGTAATTAATCAATATAATAATCCCAACGAATGCTGGAGGGTATGGAAATCTTTCTTTAATGAGATATTA